CGCTGGGCTGGGCGGAGCAGGCGATGGCGGCGCTGGGCTGGGCGGAGCAGGCGATGGCGGCGCTGGGCTGGGTGGAGCAGGCGATGGCGGCGCTGGGCTGGGCGGAGCAGGCGATGGCGGCGCTGGGCTGGGCGGAGCAGGCGATGGCGGCGCTGGGCTGGGCGGAGCAGGCGATGGCGGTGCTGCTAATGGTGGCGACCTTTGCAGGGTGCTTGGCGGTGTTTGTGTTGACTTAGGTATGCATTTAAAGTCTGAAGTTCCTGGGTGCGGGACCATAAATGTCCATAGACATGTATTGGTTGCATTTTCATGTTTACATCCCTGAATCGTGTTGTTGATGATTCTCGGATTGTCGCATGTTGAGCTTATCCCTTGCAAGGATACGTGTAGAGCATGGGTATCTGCGGAGGAGGGATGGATATGCGACACACAAGGGTGATAGCTGGATATCATGGAACGATGAACCGATCTTGTACGACATTCAGCGTCGTACTCTCTGTCCTCCACTCTCTCATGTCCTAAAGTTCGTACTTCCCTCTTGTCGGCTTAATATGGGGTACGATGGTTGCAGATCTTCCTTATTCATTCTCGGGTGCACTAACCTAACCGCGGCAAGAACCACCAGGATGTGCGTACAAGCACATGAAGTACACAACTCCTGTAAGGGCCTGGCTAGTTTCATGCATGATGCCATGTCCGGCGTCATTTACCTTCACGACAGGTGCCGCTGCCATCCTTGACCGAGAAACGCACGGTCTCCGCACCGAAGTTGGTCTCGTTCCAGCGGACCCACTGGCAGTAGCGATCTGCATTCAGATGGGTGGGGCGGGCCGTTTTTATGGCTGATTACAGGCATATCTATCTTGCACGTCAGCGGACCCACTGGCAGTAGCAGTCTGCATGGGCGATCAGGACAAGAGTTGCATGGCATCTGGTTAAGGTTGCGGCTGCGAGGTCTGCAGGGGCTGCCCTGCACTGCGGGAATGGCGACGGTCAAGGCGCGTGCACGCCGCTTAATCAAAGTGGGTTGCAGCAGATTTGGTCGCGTAAGTGTAACTCCCCCACGAAAAATCCCCCCCTTGTATTTTGCTGCCTGCCGCTGAGCGACTGCACCAGTGCCGCATGGAACCCTCTTCTTGCCAACACCTTATGAGTGCTCAAGCTGCCAGCAATGCGATCGAAATCGCCGGCTTGCCCAGTGCATAGCAACCCGTACGCTTTCCGCGAGATTTCTAGTAGGGCGAGACATGCATATATACCAGCATGTTTCCTAGGGGTTTACTGTCAACTACTACAACAACACGCACGAGGTTCTCCCATTGAAAGCGCCAAGCATTTAGCCACAGGCTGATCCAACCGTTCCCAACAGCTCTCAACTAATCGCAACTCACTGGCAACTCCAAAGCCCCATTGAACCAAGCTTGACGTGTTTCCAGCTTTGGGTATGCTGCCGGCTCTTGGCATGACTGGATAGCCCTGGTCTCCCATGCACACTTGCTCCATGAGATCGCCGCTGCCCTTGGAGCAGCCACCCCGCATGTTGCTCCAGTACAGGCACACTTGGCAGTACAGCCACGCTGGAGATCCACCGTCGTTAATCTCGTTGCCCCCACCATCAATGTCCTCCGTTGTCACAATGCACGTTCCGCTGTCAAAGTGAACGTCCAAGCAGCTGGCCTGAGTTGTGCACCCATCCCCGGGGACCTGGCAAGAAGGGGTAGGACAGGGGTACAACAATGGCGTAGTGCCAGCGGAGGGGGTTGCGCGGGGCAGGGTGAGGCAGTGCACGGAAAAGGCAGAGAGTCGTAAGGCAAGTGCACAAGAGCAGAAGCAAGCAACGCACATCAAAACAGGATGCAATAACCAGGATGCAATAACCAGGATGCAATAACCAGGGTGCAATAACCAGGGTGCAATAACCAGGGTGCAATAACCAGGGTGCAATAACCACGCCAATCGCCATGAAACGGAGGCGAGCAGCAAATGCAGCTCAAGGTATGTAGACATGATGGACAGCGTGGGTATGCTACGCCTGCTTGCTGCTCGTCTACTCATAGATTCCTACAGCTTTTTCGAACCCGCTGCAACAGATTTCACTCACCATACCCTAGGCTGCTAACCTATCTAAATTATTACTCCCATACCCCCGCTGTTTCGCTGCCTCCCTAGCATCCCAAGCACAACGTGGAATCTCGGCCTCTTAGCTTCCCATCATGCTTACGTCGATGAGGCTGTAATTGCCGGGGTCGCTGTAGACGCAGTCAAGCGGATAGGGTGTCACAGATGGACTGGGGGGACCTGGGAACGTGCCGGGATAAGGCGGGGAAAAAACGGGGAGGGTTCAGGGTGTTGGAACATGATCGGCACTCCTACACAAGTGAAATGGAAGAGTAGTAATAGTACCCGAGGTGGTCCGGCGCTCTGCTCTTATTAACAGTGACAGTGTCCGCACAAGGTGGGGGGTGGTCCGTCAAAGCCGGGGGGCCAGGGCGGGAATTAAACTGCGGCTTCGTACCAGGCAGTGCCGAGGGGAGGTAGATAGAGGACGCAGGGAGCGATAGGTCTAAATTATTGGGGGACTTACCGGTCCGAGGGGAGGCCGGCGGGGATACCGGGGGCTTAGGTGGGCTTGGCGGAATAACGGGCGGGCGCCATGGCGGCCGAGGGGAGCTTTGCGGCAAGCTGGCGCACTTAAAGTCCGGTGTCCCTGGGCGGGGTATGCTGAAAGACCACAGGCAGTCGTAGGCCTGGTCTTCGGTGTCGTCGCAGCCAGCAAAGGAGCCGTTGATCCGCCGAGGGCCCTGGCAGGTAGCGCCAATGCCCTGCAGCGTGACGTTCAATTTGCCATCGCCTGTGGCGGCAAGCAAGCACGCGGATTGGGTGGCTGATTATATTAATTTTTACCTGGTGCAAGGTTGGGAACCATAAGCAGGGCTTGTTCATTCTGTAAGGGCCTGGCTAGTTTTATGCATGATGCCATGTCCGGCGTCATTTACCTTCACGACAGGTGCCGCTGCCATCCTTGACCGAGAAACGCACGGTCTCCGTACCGAAGTTGGTCTCGTTCCAGCGGACCCACTGGCAGTAGCGATCTGCATTCAGATGGGTGGGGCGGGCCATTTTTATGGCTGATGACAGGGATATCTATCTTATACATATCAGCTTCAAATAGGACTCTTCCGTCCGCCCCACGCAACACAGAGAGCCGCTGCCTGAGTTGAATACAGCTACACCTTGGTGTATATCCCGTATCACATCCATTGTTTGTATGGTAGTGTGTGGTACCACAACACGTAGACAGACGGTCCGCACCTGATATGCCTGAGCTCCAGTCCAGTCGCTTTCTTGTATCACCCGACTTGGGCTTCCACCCCGGGCCAGGCATCACGGCGTCTTGTCGATCCCCCATGCACACGGCGCTATACACATCGCCATCCTCCCTGGTGCATTCCTCCCGGCTGGTGCTCCAATACAGGCACACTTGGCAGTAAAACCAGCTGCCCTCCCCACCATCATCATCAGAATCAGCATTATTGCCTGCGCCGCTCCCGCTGCTGCCGTTGCTTTCCGGCATGTACTCGCACGTGCCGCTGTCAATGTAGACATCCAGGCAGCCAGCCTGGCCAGTGCATGCGTCGAAAGGCCCCTGCTGAAAGCACGTACATGCCAAAGGGCGTCAAATGTGAAGATAGGACAAGGGAACAAGAAGAAAAGCCGCAACATGATTGATTTCAATGTTCGAACCCTAATAAGTGCTTTCAGCATAGGTCAAAACTACCAAGAAGTGCTCAAACATACATCACCCACAGCAAGACGCAGGGCGAATGCTGTGCCGCCTGTATGGCAACTATGTGCTAGCAGCTTTCTTACAAAACTTACACTGTCAAAATTGCTGTAGTTTCCTGGATTGGAATATATGCAGGGCAGGGTCGAGGGTGAATGGAGTATGGGGGCTCCTAGTCCTCGGCGACGGTAACGTCGATGGCGATGGTGGCGGCGTCGGCGAAGGTGGCGGCGTTGGCGACATTGGCGGCGTTGGCGACGTTGAAGGCGTCGGCGAAGGTGGCGGTGTTGGCGACGGTGGCGGCGTCGGCAAAGATGGCGGCGTTGGCGACGGTGGCGGCGTTGGCGGCGATGGTGGCGTTGGCGACGGTGGCGGCGTTGGCGACGGTGGCGGCGGCGGCGACGGTGGCGGCGTTGGTGACGATGGTGGCGTTGGCGACGGTGGCGGCGGCGGCGACGGTGGCGGCGGCGGCGACGGTGGCGGCGGCGGCGACGGTGGCGGCGGCGGCGACGGTGGCGGCGGCGGCGACGGTGGCGGCGGCGGCGACGGTGGTGGTGTTGGCGAAGGTGGCGGCGTTGGCGAAGGTGGCGGCGGCGGCGAAGGTGGCGGCGGCGGCGACGGTGGCGGTGTTGGCGAAGGTGGCGGCGATGGCGACGGTGGCGGCGGCGGCGACGGTGGCGGCGTTGGCGACGGTGGCGGCGGCGGCGACGGTGGCGGCGGCGGCGACGGTGGCGGCGGCGGCGACGGTGGCGGCGGCGGCGACGGTGGCGGCGGCGGCGACGGTGGTGGTGTTGGCGAAGGTGGCGGCGTTGGCGAAGGTGGCGGCGGCGGCGAAGGTGGCGGCGGCGGCGACGGTGGCGGTGTTGGCGAAGGTGGCGGCGATGGCGACGGTGGCGGCGGCGGCGACGGTGGCGGCGTTGGCGACGGTGGCGGCGGCGGCGACGGTGGCGGCGGCGGCGACGGTGGCGGCGGCGGCGACGGTGGTGGTGTTGGCGACGGTGGCGGCGGCGGCGACGGTGGCG